ATCTTCAAGGTCATTTTTTACACGGAGAAGGGAGCGCCCTTTTTGAAAGTGTAAATTAATTACGATTCTCCCAAGAACGCTTCCTGTCTAGCTAAATGGGAACAAACCACACAAAAAGCATAGTGACCAGCGAATATGGAGACTACTAAATTTTGAAATGGGCATTTGTAAGTAAATGGGTTTAGTTTGAAAAACGTCGTAGCGGAAATGACAAATCTCAAAAATTAAAGGTGCTAACGCATTATTCTCCAGGGCACATTGGTATGTGACACAGTTACAAGGTTAATCCTAATATTTTTATTGATATGTCAAATTTACTTAATTTTACAGTCTTAAGGGCAATTTGTTTACACACATATCCATGTTTCATGGCGTAAACTTTCCCGGCGACGGACCCATAATGGGAAAGAGAACAATTGGCTGGGACCCTTCCTTTGAGAAAATGACCGTCTCCGACAACATATTGAGAGGTGACGTGACTATGTTCCTACTGCTCAAAGGAGGTGGTTATCACAGGTGCCAGTTTCACACTTCTTACAAGTAAGTATTTTGTTTCTGTAACAGCTCCAACAGTTGAATATCATTCCTTTGGAGCATTAATATTTGGATTGCATCTTCTATGTTTTACTGGATAAAAGCAACCGAAGAGAACGCTGGGATGAAAAGGGCCTTGATAGAACGGCTTAATTCTAATTTCTTGTGTTAATAAAATGTTTAAGATCGAATAAGACTCTTCTCAAGATACTAAAGGTTATGTACTATAATATCCTTTACAGCTAAAAATGTTTCCTTCCCTGCACTTGTCGGGGAAAGATGTTGAGGGCGATGGAAAAATAGTTATTATTGATACAAGTAATTGTTGATCTACACTGTACCAAAAAACAAAGTTCAAAAGCATTGATGTTCAAAAAACAAGTAAGAGACCCAACGCTGATAGGGAACGTAAAACACATATTTTATATTTTACTAAGTTTTTTTCCTTTTCCACAGAACAAAGGAGCCGGTCACACTGCCTCCGAACCACGTCGTAGAACATCGCATTACAAGGACCGACATTGAAGACAAAGACGGCAAGAAGGTCCTGCTGGAAGAAACTGCTGTGGCTCATGTTAACCCTTTGTAACTGGGATGGAAGTATTTTTATTACCTCGTTACTTCTGACGTTATTGTAATACGGATCAAGTCAGTTGAAAAATTTAAAAAAACATTGATATGATCAAGTGTGTAGTGTCATTCTCTCAATTTGTACTAA